CAAACCTGTCAAACATCCGCCAAAAGGCCAAGGCAGCGAAAGAAGAAAAATATCGACAAGCCAAAGGTCGACCAGCGCTGCCAGTCATTCAAAATTTTGCTCAATGTTCTGCATCTAACGCTTTGACAGTGGTGAGACGACCAACCTGACGAGCATCACAGCAAATATATCAGGACGAGATCTTTCACTTTCTCAAATTATCATCCCTGACCTCGCACATTCGCCAACACTGAAGATAAATAATGTTCACGTACCATTTTCTTCCTACTGTACAGTGTTTAGACCTATCTCGAATAATTGACTCGCTCACGTATAGCCATACCCTTATTAGTAGTGTCTTAACATTATTCATTTTGACCGTTTACATCAGCCGACTGAACAGGCTGAGCCTCGTTTACCGGAACCGTCACGCATCCATGGCAGAACTAGAACATCACCAATTCGGCAAGTTTTCGTTCATTATGACCAGCACTCAAATACACCTACGCCATGACAGCTTACTTGCCATCTTCCAGCGGCCCTTTAATTCTAGGTTATCATGGCAGAGGGATGTGTAGAAAGGCCGTCTGCTTGTTGTCTTCATTCTCTGTCGTAAATCGTTCGTCCAGAAAGACCGTACTGAGATGTTCGTTGCATGTCAGCAATTCCTTTTATTCTACTGCAACGAAGACATCGTCCACGTACCGAGCGTAGAATTCCGGCCTCTGGTTTCGAAAGTTCAGTGACTCCAGCCGTTGCACGACCACCGCCGCTATGATATATGAAGTCGTTGAATCCGAGAACGTGTCTTATATTTGTTCGCAAACTGTCTTGTAAAATGGGAGACACGTTTGGTAACAGAATTTCAGGGGTTGGAAGATCTGGGCGTGTCAAGGTGATTCTCCGCTTTATCACATTTGTTTTAGAGGAGTAATTCGTTGATCTATACTGCCAAAATCAAGGACATAAAGGTAAATAGCGATGCGATATCAAATCTCGTTCGGCAAGCAGGTGTGCCTCATTAATTCAGCGCAACAACTGTGTTGACGAACCGACTGTGCTATCTAGATGAGGAGTCGGCAATTTAAGACACCGAGATGGCAAATTTGTCGGTCTGTAAGGTGGAATGCCGTTGAGTGATGCGGCGTACCGGACGGGCATACTCTCTTTGGGCAGCTAGAAGAGACCAGATAATCGGCCAAAGACCGTTTCTTGAATTTCCATCCTGTCATGGTTGATCAACAATATTACACCTGAGGCCATCATTGCCAACAGCACTGTGTAGCGCGTAGACCGTTTGTTCAACCAGACAACTTCCACCCAGGACGTCCTGCAGTCCTCCATTGCAGCCCTTAGCGGATACAACTTGATGAGAACTGGAATCTATCTTAGTCAACTTACAATAAGTAATCTGAACGCAGTTAGCTTCATTACCTATGCATACGTTACAAAATCACACGCTTCTTCATAAAAATTCTGGCTGTCGCAACTCCTCTTCATCGTTCGTGCATCTAGAAATCTCAGTCGACCTTAAACCCCCCTCTGACTACCTCCGACTGAATGCTTGATGGGATCCGGATCTATGATGTAGACGACTTATTTGGTTTCCATCCAAGAATTGTAGAATAGGCTAGCGGGCATGCCGGTGCTAGTAATGCAGTCTGAAATGTCCATTTCTGGCTCATCAGTCATCGTCAGCCGTGCTCGACTATCTCCACTCCCTTGTGACTTTGAAATTTCGATTACAACCGACGAACGGCCAGTCCGGTAGCACAAGAAGATGGAACATTGGAATTAGCAAAGTCAGGTGATGAGTTAACTAATAGTCAATTTCTGGGCGCACTGTTTGGGACTTGGACATAGCTTTCCGTTCTTCCTTGAATTTATGGGTAGCATCACCTGCGACCAACTACGAGAATACTAGAGCCTCGAAGCACAATGAGACTGCTCATTTTCGTGATGCATTTATGAGACAAATGTGAAGGCAACGAAATAAGTTGGAATTTACTTGGGTAAAGTTATGGTGGCAGTGATTTTCATAACTTGGTTTGATGGTCGACTAATGAAAAACTAGCCCAGTAATGCACTTGCCTGATTCGTGAGTAATTAAGTTCTCAAAAATGCTTTAGGTCCAACCAGTTCTCAAAATCGGTGCTGAGAAAGCGGATCTCAACTTCAGTTTTTTATGACAAGATTTTGACCC